AAAAGTTGCACATTATACTATTTTATTAATAGTATTATTAACAGTAACTATTAATAATTGTACTAATAATAATTAGTACTATTATTACTACTCATTATTACTATTAGTAGTAATAGTTATATGAATAATAAAAGAATGAAAAATAAATGCTAAAAACTGGCAAATTTAAGCTGCGTGTCACAAAATTCATTAAATGAAAAACCCCCCAATTTTTTTTTTTTTTTTTTTTTTGTAATTTTACCTGCTCAATAATATTTTTAAAAATTGTTAAATCTTTAAAGAACCAAAACATAGAAAAAGACTTTAGATTGTTGCCTTGATAAAAGAAAAACAGACAATTTCTAAATCAGTGGATTTTTGGTTTGTGACAAATTTTCACCGTTCTTGTAGTCAGTGCTGATCAAAAATTATTTCAAGGGCCAAAAAAGGCCCATGGGCCACACTTTGAACACCCCTCCTATAGACAATATATAAATATACACAGCGTGTAAACATTGTTATTGATTTGAAACTGTAAATAGTTTTTAAAAAAAAATAAAGTAGCAAAGTAATAACAAAGTGTTATGTAATTAGATTATTAAAAGTGTTGGTTGAGATATTATATGAAATGTTTATAATTAATAAAATAAGATAAATTCACATTGCCAGTAATAATAAAAGTAAAGTTACAGAATAAAACCATAAAAAGAAAGTAGAAATAATATTTCTCTTGAGCAATGTGGCAGAATACAAACCACTTCCTAAAACTTCTATTGGACAGGAAATCAAAACGTCCCTTCAGTATAAAAGCCGCCTGCTGACAGAATGAAGACCCCACTCTGAGCTTTTAATTTGGAAACGGGTTCACGTGAGATTGAGCTGCTGTTTGTCTTGCCTCAGTGCGGTTGTTGTGGCCAGGACCCCCGCCGCTCCCGATGTCGCTACAGTAAAATAAAATCAGAGTTCAGCGCGGCTCGAGCGGAGAGGCCATGCTGTTTCACTCCTAATGAAACCTCGAGTCCTGAGCGTGAGCTTCGATCATTTAGGCTTTTATTGAGGAGAAAAGCAGACGGCGGTGATGCGTTTTCGATTAAATCCCCGCAGGTCAGCATGAAGCTAAAAACAACTCATAAGCTTTTCTGACAGCTTTGATTAAAAGGAAAATAGATTTTAGACAGAAAAACAGAACATGAATGTAGCAGACAGAAAAGGAAAATCTGTTATTTTAAAAACAAATATAAAAACAAGCTGTTGATAAAATGAGACTAAATAAGTTCAGATTCGAGGTGGACTATACAATAAATTGTGTCAACAGTCTGCTAAAACCAGAGACCAGGGCTTAATTAAATAAATCTGTATTTTTCAAATAATCTGTCATTTTTTTTCCCACGTCTTCAAACTCAAAATACATGGATGAGATTAGATTGTTTTAATTTTTGAAGTGTGTAATGTAAGTCTGACCTTCTGATCTTTGTAAACTGCCTTCCTCTTCACCACCATGATGGATAACAGTTTGACTTTTTCAAAAAAATTATTTAAGAAAATTATATGATTTTGAAATCCAGCAAATAGAAACAATCATGGAGAGCCAGGATTTAGACTAAAATAAATACGCAATATTCTGTGTTTCACTTTGAACATGAAAGTCAGTCGGCCCAAGGCAATGCGAGTTAAACGGCTGCGTAGGCCATCCACACCACCAGGGGGCTCCAAGAGCGTGACTTGATTTTATTTTATAATGATTGATCTAGGTCTATCACAATAACAAAAAGGATGAGAAATTGTCCCAGAAGCTATAAATTATAATATTGTTAGTTTGAGACCATTTTCAGGTAATATAATGGTAATAATGCAAGAACACAATTTCAAAGCTCAATAAACTTTCAGTTCTAATGAGGATTTAACTGGAAAACATTTTAAAATATTTTAAAAAAACAATAGAATGAGTCATAAAGTCTCTGTACTATATTTGCTTGTTTCAGTTTATTATACGATTAATTGATTTATTGCAATAGGCCTATTTGAATTCCAAAATACTTTTTTATCCCAAAGAGCAATTTAAATTTGTTGCAACTCAACAACATTGGATGGATTAAAAGTCTGCTCTGGGCCCCAAAAAGGTTTGGGCCAGCCCTGACCTAATTGAGAAAAAAAAGAAAAATGTCATTTTTGCATTAGCTTTGTTTTCTTTATTCTGCATTAAAAGCAGGATTTATTGAAATAATCATCTTAAAGACAAGTTAGATGTTTAAAAAATTACTATTTGATGTAGTAATAATGTTTTATTGATTGGCTGTTCGTGTTGTTGGTGTCCTAATATTTCCTTCCCTCGGTCACATTCCGATGAACTCTGAGTAAAAAAAAGCCTCTGCAGGCGCGTTTGATTTGCATTTAAATGGATTTATTGTCGGGCGGAGACTGACCACATGATGTGGGAAGTGAATGGAGCGCCAGCCGCTTCCTCGTGTTTGTCTCCCGGCTGCATAATGAACATTTTAATGTGATTGTTATCTGCCAGCGGGCGGGAGAACTGGAGCAGTTAGACTAACAATCAAAACTGCTTAATATGGAGGCCGAAACGCAGAGGTATTGATTCAGTTCCCGAACAGAATCAAACGGAGGCGACAGTGAAAGGAGTTTTAATCATCTCTGCAGGGAAGCTGCTGTGAAGGCTGTCAGATTACAGGAAGTTAAAAACAAGAAACAGGAAGAGAGCGACGACGGACCGGAGGTTCGTTGGTCTCTCCTTATGTCCTTCCTTCAGTGTCCTTTCCTTTTTTCCTTCCTTACCAGTTTGTGTTCTTTCCTTCTTTCTTCCTTCTCCTTCCTTTGTTCCTTCCTTCTTATTGTTCATGTTGGCATCGTTGAAGATGCTCACAGGGAGTTGAATGAGTGTTGATACCAGAGGCTCCATGTTGACCTTGCTGTTGACCTCTATAACCTGATATTTCCAACCCAAGGTCCAGAACTGGAGAATCTTCTTGGAAGAAATTCCTTCAAGTAATCAGAAGTCAAGTTTCCTTCATTTAAAACTCTGAAAACTGAAGAAGAAGAGCAGACCAAAACTTCCTCTATTACACTTGAAACATTTAAATCTTAAATTGAAACGTAATCTGGAAGAAAAACCAATGAGAAACATAAATAAACATTTATCCTCAGTAAACTGGTTTTCCAGACGTGAAATCGGCAGCTAACAGGTGATTCAGACCATGAGGCAGTTCCTCCTGCTGTCTCCATAAAATATTCATGAGTTGATCCCCGATTTGATGAGAGGAGCGTCGTTCTTCTGACATCTCTACGCGAAGTCCCACAGCGAACCGATCCTCCTCATCACGATCCCATTCCAGCTTCTTGTTTGTTCCACCTTTAACAAAATTCCCATAACAAACCAAATATTTTAGTTTAATTTGGGTTGCAACTAGAGATGGGAATGTTTCTGGGCTCAGCGATTTGATTTAGACATGAGTTTAGATTCAGAACTCTGCAAAAACCACATCTTACCAAATATTTTTGGTCTAGTTCTGGTGCAGATATCTTAACACCTTTGAAATTAATTCATTAAGACAAAAAGTAAATTTTTAAGAATGAAGACTGTCAAAACTTTGGTACTGAAACACCAAACACCTGCAGCTCATGGCAGGAGTTAATCTGCTTCCACTTTCACGGCTCTGAAACTTATTTCCAAACATTTCTGCAGTCCAGTCCTGTGGATTTGACGTTGTTTTGTTCCTCTGGGAATAAGAAAAGCAGCCGCCCGTTTCCTCAGCCCCTTGCAGGACTGAAGCAGCTCGCTGGTAAATGGAGTGTAAACAAAGAGAGCGTCTGGCAGCCGCGCTGATGGAAATCTGAACAGCTACTAATGCGTTTTCCAGCGGCCTCCTTATCTCAAAGGCCCCTATCAAAACAGCGAGCATAATGAGCGAGGATAATCCAGCCGGCTGGCTGTAAACAGCCAAGAATGACCTTAACTACGGACTCAGAGAGCCGAACACGTTCTCAATTAAATTTCTCCAGTTGAGAGGCTCAAAATGCTCCGTTTTCCTGCTGAATGAGCAACTTTACAGCAGAAACCAGGAGAGGAAAAACTGCTGACTCATGATAACATGTCTCTAGATTTTAGAAGTTTCTTTGTCTTTACTCGGATTTTCTCAGATTAAATGTGTTAAATTAATGATTTTAAAACATAAAATGTGGAGTTGTGAGGGCGGTTCTGGTCTGCAGGGTCCAGAACTTTACAAAGTGGATTACAGCTGGACTAGAGAACCATCAACTGATTACTTCCTGTTCAAAATGGAAACATAACATCTCCCCCAGTTCTCCCAGTGATCAGATCCTGGTGGGTTCTGGGTCGGCTGGGTTATTCTATCCTTCCTTGTGACCTTTTCTTCAGTCCTTCCTTCCTGGTGTCTCTTCCTTCCTTTATTCTTTCCTTCCTTCCTTAATCTTTTCCTTCTTTATCAGTCGTCCTCAGGAGGAAATGAGTCAGGACTCTATTTAGCTTTGAAGTTCATTTATTTTCAAAATATTTACTCTTTTTTTCTTTGCCTTTTGCCTGAAGTGAAAAACTAAATGTGTAGGATTAGATCAAGATTTTTTTGTTGTTGGTTTGGTGAGAAAAGCAAAGTCAGATCCAGTTTCTGCTCCGATCTGGATGAGACAGAAGCAGAAACCGGAGTAACAACGGTAGAAAAGCTGCTGCTGCTGATGTGCAGCTTTGATGTTCTGCATCATCAGCTCTCAGGCCGCGGCGAGGCGGCCAGCAGAAAGCCCGTTTCCTCCACCATCATTAGATGAAAGGTGAGCGGCGAGCGTACCCTGATGAAAGCTGCTGTATCCTCGCTTAACTCTGCAGAAACGTGGAGAAAAAAAGCTCATTAGCGGCTCTTATGAGCGCTGTAAAGCATTCTGTCAGGTAGATCCACGGATCTGTCTGGCTGTTCCACATCTGATCCACCATTTCCAGAGCCAGGCAGAACCACAACAATAAATAAAACCCAAGCAGTCAAAAAAAAAAATCTAAAACGAGTCCAAAGTGTTTTATTCTTAAATGCTGTTTTACAAAATCAAACCGAATGTCCAGTCAGTTCATTAGTTTGGCCATTTTCTTTTCTTTTGATTGGCAGTTTACTTTTACTGTTCCACACTCGCTTGTTGTCATGCTGATAGTGAACCTGTCCGTCGACGGCCTTTGGCTGGTCCGTGTGTGTTTATCTGTAATACTGTGGGAAATGATGGGGACGGTCTTCCATCTCTTTTTTGGTGTTCCTGGTTCATACACTGCAAAAAACGCAAAATCTTAAGTTCAGTTTTTAAATTATGGATTCTCTTGTTGCTTAGAAATTAAATCAAATGAATAAAACTGGATGTTTGCATAAATAATGAACATCCACAGTTGAAAGTTTTTTGTAACTTTATTGTTACAAAAAAGAATAATTATGTTTTTTTTTTAGGATTAAAGATCAATCTATGAACAGGATGTGGATTGGTTGAATTAAAAATAATTAAAATTCCTCCCAGCATTGAAATAAATTGCAGTCATTCTGACATTTGCTGCTGGTTCCTCTTATTTTAAGGCTTCCTGTTTGATTAAAAGTTTCTTTTTGTTAAAAGCTCCATGAATCCGATCCTAGGTGTGTCTGAACACCTCTGAGTGTTTTAACGTGTCCTTTTTGTGTACCTGCTGACCCCGTCCCTCCAGGAGGGGCCTGTCGGTCTCCAGCCTGCAGAGGCTTTAAATGAGTGACCTTTCAGACAATAGGAGGGGCCCCGGCTCTGCATGGCCAGCGGCGGGCCAGCGGGTCCTGAAGCAGGCGGCTGTTCGGCCGCCTGCGGATTCCATTGATTCCCTGAAACAAAAGCTTCCCAGGAAGCTGCTGGTGGAGAGGAACTGGGACCCAACAGGTTCTGGATGGTTATTTATTTGCTGGAAGATGAAAATGTGTTTCTGGAAGCTCGACTGTTTTTGTTGCCTTCCTGAACAAGAATATGAAATATTTAGAGCGGATGAAAAGGAGTGAGGAAACCCTTTTAGAAGAAGCCGAGGAGGGTGGGGGGAGGGTTGACATGGCGACGAAGTATTAACTCACCTGCCTGTCTCCCCGCAGAAGCTGGCCGTCCGAAGCTGTCCCGTGGGGACCGCCAAGCCGCTGTCGCTCATCAAGCCCCCCAGCCAGAGCATCGCGATCTCTGTGCTGCCGGCCAAGGCCCCCGTTTCCATGGTGACCGCGCAATTTAACGGCCAGAAGGCGGCGGCGCCGGAGCCGCTGCAGGCGTCCCCTATAAACCTCCAGGCGGCCGGAGTCGTTCCGTTCAGCGGCGGCAGGAGAGCCGGGGAGCTGCTGGCTCCCTCCCAGGTAACCCCCACCTGCAGAGGGGCGGGGACGGGTTCTCCTTTTGGGTCGGCCGGGCTATTTAATGTTAAATATTAATATTTAATATATAAGAATGGAAGACTTAAAGTCAGGTGAGACTTTTTTGTTAGACAAAAGTTTTATTCATCTTCATTGAGGCTACCGCTAACTAGCCGCAAATATTAGCTAACTAGCTTCATTGAGTTCTGTGACTCAAGCGGTTGAGGCTACCGCTAACTAGCTGCAAATATTAGCTAACTAGCTTTATTGAGTTCTGTGACTCAAATGGTTGAGGCTACCGCTAACTAGCTGCAGATATTAGCTAACTAGCTTCATTGAGTTCTGTGACTCAAGCGGTTGAGGCTACCGCTAACTAGCTGCAAATATTAGCTAACTAGCTTCATTGAGTTCTGTGACTCAAGCGGTTGAGGCTACCGCTAACTAGCCGCAAATATTAGCTAACTAGCTTCATTGAGTTCTGTGACTCAAGCGGTTGAGGCTATCGCTAACTAGCTGCAAATGTTAGCTAACTAGCTTTATTGAGTTCTGTGACTCAAATGGTTGAGGCTACCGCTAACTAGCTGCAGATATTAGCTAACTAGCTTCATTGAGTTCTGTGACTCAAGCGGTTGAGGCTACCGCTAACTAGCTGCAAATATTAGCTAACTAGCTTCATTGAGTTCTGTGACTCAAGCGGTTGAGGCTACCGCTAACTAGCTGCAAATGTTAGATAACTAGTTTCATTGAGTTCTGTGACTCAAGCGGTTGAGGCTACCGCTAACTAGCTGCAAATATTAGCTAACTAGCTTCATTGAGTTCTGTGACTCAAATGGTTGAGGCTTCCGCTAACTAGCTGCAAATATTAGCTAACTAGCTTTATTGAGTTCTGTGACTCAAATGGTTGAGGCTACCGCTAACTAGCTGCAGATATTAGCTAACTAGCTTCATTGAGTTCTGTGACTCAAGCGGTTGAGGCTACCGCTAACTAGCTGCAAATATTAGCTAACTAGCTTCATTGAGTTCTGTGACTCAAGCGGTTGAGGCTACCGCTAACTAGCTGCAAATATTAGCTAACTAGCTTCATTGAGTTCTGTGACTCAAGCGGTTGAGGCTACCGCTAACTAACTGCAAATATGAGCTAACTAGCTTCATTGAGTTCTGTGACTCAAATGGTTGAGGCTACCGCTAACTAGCTGCAGATATTAGCTAACTAGCTTCATTGAGTTCTGTGACTCAAGCGGTTGAGGCTACCGCTAACTAGCTGCAAATATTAGCTAACTAGCTTCATTGAGTTCTGTGACTCAAGCGGTTGAGGCTACCGCTAACTAGCTGCAAATATTAGCTAACTAGCTTCATTGAGTTCTGTGACTCAAGCGGTTGAGGCTACCGCTAATTAACTGCAAATATGAGCTAACTAGCTTCATTGAGTTCTGTGACTCAAATGGTTGAGGCTACCGCTAACTAACGCCGCTGTTCGCTAGCTTCGGTGTTGCGACTTGGTGACTTGAAGCGGGTGAATCTACTGCTAGCTAGCGGCTAGTATAACCTTTCTTCGTCTATCATGGTTAAGTGTAAATTTATCGCCAGTTTGAAAGGCTGTTTTTTTTTTTTTTTTTTTGCTAGTCAACGTTTATTGAGTGAAAATAACTATTTTAATTTGTACATTTCTGTCTTAATACGAGGCTGAATTTTGAGTTGGTGAAACCTGTATAAATCCTGATCAGTAAATATTGCTGTAAATCCATTTTGTGCTAGTCGTTTTCCAATGGGCCTGCACTGCAGCCTTGTTCTTCCTGTTTGTTGGGATTCAGGCTGCAGCCTCTCTGGCTTTATATTCTGCTCCATAAGCTGGGATCAGAGCTCCATGACTGTAATTTTCCAGCCGTTAGAGAGAAGAGGGCCCAACCTCCGGGCCCTCAGGCTCAGTCTTCACCCCTCTTCTGCCCATCCTCTCTTCACCGTGTCCATAAAGGAAAATGAGATGATTATCTTTGGCATTTTCACTGTCAAAGTGAATGATTGTGGTTCAGAGTCGAGGTTTTTGGAGGGGAACCCCCTCAATCATCAGACATCATCTGACTCTTAGTTTCCTATTTAAACTCTAAAATGAGGTGTTCAAAGTGAGGCCATATGTGGCCTTGAACCGATTTTGCGTTTCATTTTAATAATTTTTATTAGGATAAGAATTATTCTAATTCAATAATAAATTAGAACATAATGCAACCAAAAGCAGCACAAAGTGAGCTTTTCCAAGCTTTCTGTTTCCTTCTGTCATGGTAACTAGGACCACATCTACTCATTGACTTGTACACTTTGGAGCACCCAAACCTGCTTTTAATTACTGTACAAAGACTTGGCTCAATAGATATGAAGACTGCCCTACATTTGTTTTTTAATGCTGAGAGTGAATAAAATATTTTTTTCAGGTTTATTAAAAAATTGAGTCCAAAATATTCAGCAAAATGTATTGTTTCCTTTCAACAAAGATCTATGATCCTGTTCTTAGAAAAGAAAATCTGATTATTTTACTTGTTTAATTGGAATAGTTAATGGCATTGTGGTGATTTTAGTTTTCAAAAATGATTGACAGTTTTGTCAAGTGCAGTGACAAAACTTCCTGTTTTCATGATGCAGTCATGTTTTTATTGTTAAAAATAACAACGTAGTTTCAAATTACGTTATTTTTTAGGAATATGTTTCCTTATCAGGTCATAATGAAAACCGTTGACGTATTCAGTCAGAGTGAGCACTCTCAGTCCAGACGAAGCTTTTCTCTGAAGGCTTGCCCAATCACAGGCTGTTTTTGCAGCTAATTCAGGGATCAATAGTAATAAATCAGGGAGTTGGTTTTAGTTCTGCCCTCTAAATTGCAGCAAATCAAAGCAGAAGATCTGAATCCAATCGCTGATGGAGGTCAGCTGAATATGTGCTATTAAAGGGCCGGAACCTGAACTGCAGATAATGAATGCTTTCCTGTGATGAGCTGTGATTGGATGTGAAAACCAGAGAGGTCAGATTCAGGCTTCCTCTTTTAAGTTGTTTTTTTGTTCTTTTTTTAGTTTTTTAGAATGTATTTTTAGTTTTAAAAAACTAAAAATACTAAAAAGACTAAAAAAGTTTAGTTTTTTTTTTTTTTTTTAGGTTCTTTAGGTATTCACCGTGTCCATAAAGTTATTTTGTTGTTACTTTTTGAGGGTTTTGTTTTTAGGATCTTTGGACTTTTTTTTTTGTCTTTTTTAGGATCTGTTTGGTATTTTTTAAATTTTTTGTCTTGTTTTTAGGTGTTCTAGGGATTTTTGTTTGGTTCTTTTGGTATTTTTCTAGTTTTCTATTTAGTTTATTTCTATTTGCAGGTTTCTCTTTAGGTTCTGTGGGTTTTTAGGGTTTTTTTTTATTATGTTTTTGGTTGTTTCTTTTAAAGCTGTTTGGGTTTTTTGTATTTTTGTTAGGTTTTTTTAAGGGAGGTTTTAAGGTTCTTTGTTTTTTTCTGTAGATTTATTAGGTTGAGAATCCAACATGCTGGAAACGACATTTAAAAACACTTTAGGCGTCTTAGACTTCCAAGTTCAACTCAAAGGTTTCAGAGATGAACTGATGTGTGTCACAGCTCTGATGAAGAAGCAGTGTTGCTGTGGTAACCACATGGTAACTCGGTGAACTCTTCTCCACCCTCTGTGAACTCTGACCTTCAGGGTCGCTGAGTGACAGACGCGACGTTCAAACATTGTCAGGCTCTGTGAACCCGGTGTTTACTTTAACCATGACAGAAATATTCCCACCCTGACGCTCTGGGTGTTTTTATATGTGAAGTTTGTGGATGTAAACACAGCTGGGTGTTTATCTCAGGTTACTGAAGGTGGTCAGGGATGAGGAGCGCCCTCTGCTGGCTGCTGCTGGAACAGCAGCTTTAAAAAACCAGTAGAAACTGAGACTAACTGAAGGCAGCGCTTCGTTCCAGCTGATTTCTGCTGAGTTCTGGTTTTACTCGGAGATGATAGACTCAGAACAAACCTGTCGTCTTCGCTGCACGCCTTCATCCTGACTGCTGCGTGTGCATAACCTCCTCCTCTTCCTCATCTTCCTCCTGCTGTGATGACAGGAGCAGAGATGACAAACTCCTCCTTCCTATCTCCACTTTGACCGGCTGCTGGCAGACTCCTCACATCTTCTCTTTAATCCATGTTTTTTTCCTCTATAATTCAATCCTTTTATTGATTTGGAGGTTTTATTTGCGTTTTATGCCTCTCAACCTTTGCTCCACTGTAATAATCTCATTTCTAGATGCAAAACAAAGAGCAGTTTGAGTCGTGAAGAAACCAAACATCAGATCCTTTTTTAAATACAAACTGTTTGAGTAAAAGAAGCTGCTGCATGATTAACTTTTATGATAATCCAGAATATTTTACAGCTTTTTTTAGGGATTCTCTTTTGAAAAATATTGATTGTAAATATTTTCAGATCTCAATAAGTAATATTTGTTTTGCATAAACTGTGCTCTTTTATTTAAAAATTTTAGCCATTCTGTAATTTTTACTTGTATTTAGAAATTGATATTTTTTCTCCTATTCTTCTTGTTTGTGTATTTTAGGACTGCAATTAATGTTTATTGTAGAAATTGATTATTCTGACGATTATTTCTGGATTTGATAACTTCAGTCTGTTTTATGCAATATTAGAGATACATTTAATGTGCAAATAAACAAACCAGCTCCTTTATAAGTAAGAAAATAAACATTTTCTTGCATTCAGTTGGTAAACATTCGATCAGTTGTAGCAAAAATAGACAGATTTAAAGACTAAGAAGTTTGTTTTTCTCTCAAGTGCAAAATTTATGCATCTTTTTTATTTTTTCCAGTTTTGGCTCGGTTCCTTTTGACTGCCTTTTTCAGAGTCTTTAGTTAACGATTAATCCTATTAATTGTTTCAGCCCTGATGTGTTTCAAACTTTTAACTGTAAATGTGAGGCAAACGGCTCAGGATGTTTGTTTCCATCTCATTTTGTCTCCATCAAGTTTAAATCGTTTATATTTGAAGCCGCAGCCAATCAGAGCTCAGCTTTAGTTTCTGTTTGTTTCACAGAAATCTCTGATCCAGGATGAGAGGAAGAGGAGGAGGAAGAGGAGCCCTGAAGGTGTTGGGTTTGGAGAAAACAGGCAGCAATTACAGAAATGAAAGGCCTGAAACTGCAAGAATCCTGGGCTCTGCAGTTACCATGGCAACCGACCTCGGCCGCCTCCTCCTCCCTCTTCATCCTCGCCGAGCCGCTTTGCAGCACAATACGACGAAACGAAAGGATTTCACAGAAGAAGAAAAGAGAAGAGGGAAAACTTTCACCTCCTTTACTGGAGAACATGGAGCGCTTAAACTGGTTTAAACTGGTTTACGGGCTGGGTTTAGACTGGTTATGAACTGGTTTATATACTGGGTTTAAACTGCTTTAAAAATCTGTTTTTAAAAAATTGATTTGAACAGGTTTATATTCTTGTTTAGATTTTGTTTTAAACTGGTTTAAATTCTAGTTTTAGCCTGTGTTATTTGATTTCTGACTGGTCTGTGGTGACCTTAAACTGGATTCAAAGTGATTTGGTTCTGAACTGGTTTTATGGTCTGGTTCCAGCTCTGAGTTGGACTGGTTTTGGACATTTCGGTTGAACTGGTTTTGGACTCAGTCTGAACCCAGTTTTGTGATGGTAAAGGTCCGTTATGTTTTGTGTGAGGAACCATCAGAGTAAAGTTGATTTAAATCAAGTATTTCTGTTTCCAATAAACATTTTGGGAGGATTTTAATCTCCTTTGGAGAGATCTTTGATTGTTAAAATCCATGGGATTAAAATCAGCCTGCAGAAACAGCGCCCCTGGTGGTTAATGTTTGCAGGTACATTTATTTGTTCCACCTCAGACAAGTTTTTGACTGAACTTGTTGTTTTCACTGCTGGATTGTTTTGGTTTTAAAACCCTTAATGTTCAGGAAGTTTCACATCATTTCTGGACCAAAACAAAAACCCAGAACTTGTAGAACCTTCCTGTGAAGGTCCTCCTAACTGGTTCTGCCTGTTGCGTTTCAGATGCTGGGAACTCTCACTGCTCTGCCCATCAAGGTGCCTCAAGTCAGCTCTCTGCACCGGCTGGCAGGACAAGCAGCCACTGTGCTACCTCAGGTAAACCGGGTCACTTTGACCTTTAACTGGGTCAAACTGGTTTCAGATGAATTGCTATTGCAAATATTAATATTAAAAACATTTGACATAACAGTACAAAGTAAGTTTATTTTATCTTTACAAAAGTTGTAATTCGAAGTTTTGCCTTTTTTCCTGGTCTGAGCTGAATAATGAACATGTTTTGAAGCAATGGATCAATTAAATTCAATAATTTCCACTTGCTTTATTTATATTTTTTTAAAGATTTTTTTCTCTTTGTTACAAAAATGAGATGATTAACGTCTCCAGTCTGGTGTTTTGGTCTCAAATAGCTGCTTCTCCTGAAGATAATTTTATTTCCAGAGAGTTTATTTTGTTGTTTTGTATATTCAAAATGTTTTCCAGTTCCAGTGTTAAACGCCCACTGCAACTTACAGTTTATTGATCTTTGAGAATATGTTCTTGCATTGTTATTCTATTAGCATTATATTACTAGAAAATGGTTGCACAATAACTTTCAGAACAATTTATTGTCCAGTAAGATTTATTATTGTAACAGTTTGGTAAATATGAAGAAACAGAGCGATTTATTTGGGGGAAATCTGTCTGACCAGAAATTAAATTGCAGGTTCTGTCCAGCAGGTGGCAGCAGAACATGTTGACCTTCAGTTTAATTAGGATATTTAGCAAGTTTCACCTTTTTTTTCCATGTATAACTTATATTTTTCTCACTTTTCATTCAGAATCCAACATAAAACTACTGAATTATCCCTACAAGATAATAAAGCTGTTGCGTTTTTTCCCCTACAGGTCAGGCCAAAGACCCAGATCCCCGACAGCCTCCCCCACACTCCCTGCCAGGAGCTGCAGCCGCTCAGCCTGCAGAGAGTAACGGCTGTGGTCAGCCCCAAGAGCCCAAACCCCACCCTGCCCACCGCCAACAGCACCTTCAGCTCCGACCACCAGCAGGTCAGCCAGAGCAACGCCTCTCCATCAGCAGGCCTCGACCTGGGCACGGCCGCCCAGCACGCCTCTGCAGGGCCAGGCGTGGCGTACGCCATCATCGCCGCCTCGCCCGCCACCGGGAACGGCGTGTCGGCTGTCAGCGAGGCTGTAAAGGTACGGACACATTTCACAAAAACATCTGGAGCCTTCAAGTTTGTTTTTTTTTAACTGACAACTTTAACTGACAACTGACAACTTGGATTATTATCACCTGTTCCCAGGTGATAATAATCCAGCCGCAGGCCCCCAGCAGCACCGATGGGTCCCCAGCTGACCTCCCTTCACCTGAGGCTCCCACCGTAAAATCCCCTCCCAAGAAGAAGGAGGAGGATCCAGAGGTGAATCAACTTTATTATTCTGACTCAACAGCTGGAGGACTGAAGGAACCAGGAACTGACTCTTCTTCTTCTGTTGCAGAAAATCGCCTTCATGGTGGCCCTTGGCCTCGTCACCACAGAGCAGCTGGAAGGTGAGTTCACTTCGACTCCCTGCTGGAAACAAACGGAGCCAGCCGAGTCTTTAGAGGTCCGTTCTGTTTTTCAGAGATTCAGACGAAGAGGCAGGAGAGGAAGAGGAGAAGCACAGCCAACCCGGCCTACAGCGGCCTCTTCGAGCCCGAGGTGAGAAAATGTCCTGAAACTTTTCCAGACCTCCGTCTTTCTGGGAGGCTTTAGCTTTAACCACTTCCTGTTTGTGTGCAGAGGAAACGCCTGCCGTCACATTACCTGAACAGCTCCCTCTACCTGTCGGCACGAGGTAACGCAACTCCCAACCTGCAAAAAAAAAAAAAAAAAAAAAAAAAAAACTACTCAACCCGACCAGAATCAGAGCTCCATAATTACAAAGTTTTCTATGAGAATCAATGGGAATAAACTTGTAACTTTTAATTTGCCGGGGTAAATAAAGACTCTAATCATAATATTCACTAAAATAACCAGATTTGATGTGTATTAAGATACCTAACATGCACTGATGGTCAGAAACCTGGACTATATAAAGTGAAGTTCATAAAAATTTTACCATAAATATATTTAACTTGCAAATGACTCAATTGAACTGAATTGAATCATTTGCAATGTTCCCATTCCATGTGAATTATTTCCCATAATTCACATGGAAAATTCCAGTTTTTTAGGACCAGAATAATCTGGACCAACTCATCAGTTTTACAGTGCTGTGAGAAAGTAGAACGTATTGCTGCTTTTCACTGCAAAAACTCAAAAATCCTACCAAGTATTTTTGGTTTAGTTTCCAGTGTAAATATCTTTTTAAGTGTATTAACTAACTTACAAGTGACTTTTTAGAAAGTTCTAGTTTCACTGGCAATAAATTTTACTTAAAATATGAGGAAAATACTTGCACTTTGTCAGAGTTTGTGTTTTTGCAGTGTTCGGTTTCATAATGTCGTATGTGCAGAATAAAAGCCTCATGTCTAAATAAATCACATAAACTTAAAATGAGCTCCAGAATCACAAAAGTCCAGACCCCTTCAGTAGATCATTTTAGGGGTTTTTATTATATATTTTGTGTAGTTTTAGTTGGTTCGTTCAGTAAATGGCCTCGTTTTGACTTTGTATACAGTTTAAAGAGTGGAGATCATCACTTAGTAAACAGATTAATTATCTATATTCTAGTTTGGACTGAAATCCAGTAAAGATGCAGGCTAAATTAAAACGGCATAAAGAAGCTGCATTTATGTTTTAGTTTTAAATAATACATGTAATTAAAAACTCGTTGGACTACCACCCTCCATCTACTGTTGGTAAAGTCCAGTTGTTGATCATGTGACTCCAAAGTTTTTCTCCAAATTGTTGCGTTTCCATTAAACTGCGTCATTATTGGTTAGATTGAAACGGTCGGTTCTTTCTCACCACTAACTCCTCTACCACGCGCTAACCTCTGCTCTGCTCCATCTACACGCTAACAGAGGATTTCTGCTGGAAGGTAGGTCAGGTCACACAACTCGTGTCGCGGCTCGGAGACCTCTGCTGACCCCTGCTGACCTCTGCCTTGTTTGCAGGAGGAGCTGGAGCATGACGACCTCTGCGCCGTCTGTAAGGAGGACGGAGAGCTGCAGCTCTGCCACAACTGCCCCCGAGCCTTCCACCCCACCTGCCTCCACCCGCCCATCAAAAGCCCCCCCAGAGGCGCCTGGTACTGCCCCAAGTGCCAGAAGAAGGCGAGTTCAGACGCGATGGGGTTGCTGTGGCGACGGCGGCAAAACCATGACGCTGTAACTTCTGCTTTCAGGTCCTGAACAAGGAGAACCTGTCGTGGCCTCAGAACTTCGTCCAGTCCTACGTGACGCACAAGACGGGTGAGGCATCTTGAACATCGGTTATACAGCGGGGTGTCAGGTTCTAATGGAGCGTGTGTGTGTGTGTGTGTGTGTGTGTGTGTGTGTGTGTAGTGAGGACGGAGGAGAAGCGGCGGCTGCTGAGACGAAACAATGAGTTGAAGAAGGAGTGCGCTCACCTGGAGGAGCAGGACAAGAACCTCAACAAGACGCTCAAAGTAAAAACAACAGAACACAAAACGGTTCTGGTTTAGTTTCTAGTGCAGATATTAGCAGCTAAAATAAAAATAATCTACAAGTAACATTTCATCAAGGTATGAGCTGGTTTTAAGTCAATAATTCCTCAGACTGATGTGAAACTGCTAGTTCAGCTGGAGGATTATTTCACTTACAAGAATTACTGACTTATAACAAGCTGAGCTGAAACATTACTTGTAAGTTAGTGCATTTAAAATAAGAATGTGGTCTAGTTTCTACTCCAGAACGTAGATCAAAAATACTTGGTAATATTGTGTTTTGCAGCCTTACTTTTGGCCCTAATAGGACTCCGTACTTCTCTGCAGGTCTGCATGGACCAGAGGGATCGACTCCTCGGTTTGCAGCGCGACACTCAGGCGTCGCTCGACCGCATCAAGACACTCGTCAGGCTGATCCAGCGAGACCAGCTGGTCCAGGTCACCATGACGACCATCGCCACGCTCCCCCAGCTGTGGATGAAACCCATCAGCACCGTCGCCATGGCGCCGTCGACCGCGCCGCTGCAGCCGGGTCAGGACGACGTCGCCAACTAGACCCAACGTCTCTGAAGTGTTTTCAAACCCAACACCTACAGTGCTTAACGAGATTTTTTTAAGTTATTTTCTATTTATTCTTCGCCTTAATGTATTTATTATGAACCGGTAGAATCCAGCTTCCGAGCGGCTGTACAGCGATTTATCCGAGTAGACGTTCGATTCCATCCTGTGAACAAAGTTCCTGCCATACGACTTCAGGAAGACGTTTCCACACGCAGACGAGCCTTCAAACAAAACAGAGAACTACAATTTTCTCAGTATTTATAGAGTTAAAGTCAAAGAAAAAAATATTTAAGATTAAACTACAGAAATTAGCTTTTTAGTGCAGATTTTAGTATTTTCATGCCGATGCCTGTTGATAAATGTCTGGAGTATTGAGGGGAATCACTGTACATACGTGCTTTCATCATCATCATCATCATCATCTAAAAAGATGAGTCTCTGATTGGACAGGTTCAACTTTCCTTTAAGACGCAGAAAGAAAACTGAATGGATATTAAAGGTGTAAAACATCTCAAACACTAAACAATTAACTGATTATTAGTGTTTTTGTTGAGAAATTCAACTTGCCAATTTCCTCAGTTAAGGTCAAAGGTCAAGAGACTAAACTGCACATTTTCTAAAAGTGTGCAACGTCTAAACAGCTCAAAGGCAAAATAAATTAAGGTTCTGGAGTGGCCTAATCAAAGTCTGGACTTGCGTCTAATAAAGACTTTGTAGTTTGGAGTTAAAGTCTCCACATTGAAGCAATTCTGCAAAAAGAGAGTCAAAATTTATCACCCGTTATCAGAGCTACAGAGAATTTAAGTTTTGCTCTGGAACAAACAAACTCAGTGGGCGGGATTAATGGAGAACCTGGCGTCTGATTGGCTGCTTCAAGCGTTAAGTGAACAGAACTTCTTCAGTTTCCTCTAGGCCCGCCCACTGGGTTCCATGGTGAAGTAGATGGTTTATATTCATAAAGTAAAATAATTTAGTTTTTGTTTCTGCGCCTTAACAGCAAATAGAAACTCACCCCAGCGAACGTGATGCATCCACTCCGCCCCTCCCTCTTTAACCAGTATGGAAAATATGCCAAAAACGTTTTTTTGTGTGTGCATTTTATATTTTCTGTGTATTCTGAGCGAAAGATGAACACTGCCTCACATTGTTTCAGGGTTTCAGTCTTTGTTGTCGTATCAGTTTTTTATATTGACGATAAAATGGAGAAAAGAAAAGCAGCAGAATCAGGACGTCTCCGTCGAGCTGCAACAACAGTCGCCAGTCTTCCTGCCGTCCGGAGACGTCCCGCTTCAACGCTTCCATCGTTTTCTGTTTTTATTATTCAGTTGTGGTACTGTACTCACCCATCAGTGGAGGTGCAGCTCTCTGATGCACAAACATGAACAAAAGGGAGAGGAAAAAGAAGTTTTTTATCAGAAAAGACGATTAGAATCATATCCAGCTCACCGGTTTGGTCTCTGAAGGATCGACGCTGCAGGAATCTGAAGGTCTGTTCACCTTTTCTGCTTTAAGCTGCAGAGAAAAAACAAAAAGTCAGTTTAAAGCAACATTTACAACTTTATCTGAAAACAAAATCAGCTTCAATTTTAGTTTGAAAGTTGGAAAATATACTTTATATAGACGATAAAATGAAAACTTGTGGTTGCATGCTAAAATTAAAATGCATAACACATTTTTCTTCATTTTTTACATCAAATGATGCAATTAGATAACATTACTAAGTTCTACAAAAAAATTTAATGTTTTTAGACACATTTATATGAAATATCTTTGAACCATATTAAGGACAAGTCTGGAAATAAAATAAAAATATAAATTTGTTTTTTTTTATATTTATATATTTTTTAAATATAAGCAGCAAATTCTACATTGAATAAAAATCAGTAAATGCAATCAGATGAGTTAAAATTTAATTTTTCTGTTTTTTTCTGGCCCTTTTAAACATGTTTTCCAGTATATGAAGATGTAAAAAACAAAGGAATGATAAATATAAATGATCTTCAAAAATCAACTTTCCTATTTTTTTTTTTTTAATTATTATTTCATAAATGCTGAAATGCGCCAAAGTAGAAAATATTTTTGAACCAATCTGGAAGTGAAGCTGCCTGGAAGTTTGATAATTTTCAGTTTAAAAGGTGAACAGACAACTTTCAGAGCAACTAAAGTAAATATTTAATCAGATTTATTTTTTATTTCCTGTAAGACGAGTTTCAGAGAAACTTTGAGGAAGTAAATATTTACTCACATTACCTTTTGTTTCCTGCTGGTGGCGCTCTTTCAGTCCAACCTGCCTTCATGAGAGAATAAATCATCATCAGTTAGTTTATAACAAAAGAGGGCTTTTATTTTGAAATGTGCCATGTGATGCATATCAAGTCCTCACCTGAGAGGTGAAAGTTCAAACCGAGATGGAAACCATATCAGTTTAAAAAAATGAATAATAAAGAGAATCCCACTTTCCTCCTCCATCCGTTTCTAGGAATCTTCTCCGGGAGAAACTGTGCAGCGCTGAAACAAATCTATTTTACTACACAACACAACATTTGAACAAAACAAAAAGAAGAAAAAAAAACATTTTTATATTCTTTTATCGAAGAGCCAAGAGAAACCAGAGGAGTTTGTGTAGATGGAGGTGAAATAGAAGTTTCTGTTCGTCAGTGAAGCGGGGAAATGTCCGGTGGATAGTGTGTATAGGAAGTGTTTGTCTTAAATATGCCAACGTAGTTTTTCGTTCTTTCTGATGCATTCAAACGCTGATGGACGGAGGATCGATGGTTAAAGAGTAGTCTCACTTTTTGTACCAAGTTCTTACAAAAACATGGAATCATTAATAAACAAAGTCAAGAACAAAACGGCCAGAGCTTTGTGTGTTTTATAAAACCGATTCTGGAACATTTCAGCTAAAATTCACTCAAATATCAAACAGAATAATTCTGGAGGAAAAGTAAAATAATGAATAAAATTAGATGGAAAAATACAGAATGTGTTAAAAATATACATTTTGGTAGCAAATGCTACATGATATATAAAGTAAACTTAATGATTTCTTGAGTTATATATATATATCATTTTTTTGAGTTTAGAAATTCATGAAGAAATATTTTTTGAAATAATTTAAAATTAAGATGGGAAAAATATTCCATAGTAATTATAAAAAGATCAAATAAAAAAAATTACATGTTAATCAAATTTTAAAGTAAATGATCATCTAAATTCAACAATTACACATGATTGTAAAGTTAATGTACAAAACAAGTATTTTATATTTTTTTATCAAACCATTTTGAACTTTATGTCTTAAAATCATATATATTTTGAATATTCCACTTAAAAAAATAATTGTTCCACTTTTATATTTGACAAATTAAATTAATTCATCCTGTTTGACACTTGGATTTTAAAGGGTTAAATGTAATGAACATAAATTCAAACAATGATTTTTACTCATTTTCTTTTCTTCATTAAGTCACAATTTATTAAAATACAAATTCCACTTACAAAACATTTAAATTCTTGTTTTTTACAGTGAAGCTACAGAAACAGTTTTAATCCAGGCATTATTTGACAACTTTGGGTTTTATTCACACGTTAAATATATTCTGTCCAAAAGATAAAACAAAAATAATCACATTGCATTACTATTATTATTTCTAGTTTTTGTAGTGCACTGGTGGTGTAACAGGCTTGACCTTTCCGGCTCCCTCAGCGGTGGGGTCATGGGGTTACCTGAGCAGGCGGGCAGCGGGAGCCGAACACGGCGGCGAAGTGTTCGACGAGGATCTCGGTGAAAATGTTGATGGGCGTCAGCGCGCTGAGCGAGATGGAGCCGTGGCGCGGCCAGACCAGGTTCACGCCGAAGACGCATGCCAGGTTGGAGGCGCTCATCTTGTTGCTGAGGCTCTGCTGGGACACCTGGAGGAAAACCCAAACAACAACTGTGTGCAATTACACAGCTCTGAAAAGCAGAAGTGGAGCCTCCTGCACAACCAACAAGAGTAAGTTGTTTCTGGACTGCAAGTCAAGAAGAAAACGCTCGTCTCTTCCAGCAGGAAAATACAACAAATACGACTGTAAAACCAGCTGATCGAGCTCAGCTTGGGTTGCTAGGAAACGGTCGGACTCCACTCGAGTTGCTAAGCAACGGCACAGTCCTCATCAAATGAGGATGATGATGGTTTTTAAAACAGCTTGTTTTCCCGACACCAAAAACATGAATTTATTGTCAAAAATATGTTTCTACAGGAAATTCTGACTCAAATGGAAATAAAAAATGTTTTAAAACAAATGCCTTTAGAAATTAGATTCTATAAAACATCCTGAATTTCATGACTTTAAATCTGATAAGAACTCATTAATTTCTGAGAGCAAAAAAAAAAAAAACAACCAAAGTTTCACTAGTAAGAAAAACCTGCAAATAAAATAAATAATCTACAAAGGAGAAAGTAAATGGATGGTATGGGAATTTTGATGGAAATAATAAAAATGTAAATAAAAAAAAATAAACTATGTATATAAATAAAAATGTATATAAATACACAATTTAAAGAAAAAAATACAAAAAGTAAATAAAGGCTTGAATAAACTTGCAATTAAAGGTCAAATAAAATAAAATAAAATAATTAAAAATAATAAACTTCACGGTACTGTCCATTTTTATTACTTAGATAAAAAATTGTAAAACTTATTTTACACCCAAACTTGAACTTTGGTTTTCTCTTTTTAAAGAATTATTTCTGTTCCTTTTTGTTCAGTGTTTGAAGATGAAACTCCTTTTGGAAATCAGGTAGAATAAATGAAGCCGATTGTTGTTGGGCCTTAAACCAGAACCAGAACCAGAACCGGGACGATTCGGACTCACCATGTTCAGGAAGCAGAGCAGAAACTTCAACACGATGAAGTTGTGTTCAGGAAGACTTTCTACAATCTGCTTGCACCTGGTGGCGCGAAGGCTGCTCTCCACATCTGGAAGGTCCAGTAAGAGACGGTGAAACCGGACCGCCCAGAACCGGACTCCAGAACCGGGCCGTTCAGAACTCACCCAGGAGCTCCAGAACCTGGCCGTAGACCCGGAAGGTGAGCAGCGGCTCGGGAAGCTCTCTGAGGAACGTCTTCAGGATCACCGCGGCAACATGGACGTCCTGGTAGAGGTCAAAGTTCACTGGCTTACCTGAAGAAAAACAAGTAAAAAAGAAAAATGTTAACAGGCTGTTTGAAGGATAAACATTGTTTGAAAAGGTAAAAGTTTCAGAAAGTCCCATTAAAACTTTGTTTCCCTGCAGGGTCACCCACAGCCGGGCCCCTGCAGGTTGGGGGAGGAGACCCCGCTCACCCTGGTTGTAGAGTTTCTGGACTTCCTTGATGATCTGAACCCGAACCGAACGCCTGAAGATCCCCTCAGTCCTCAGACCTGGAACAGGGCAGCATGTTACTGCAAAAGTCCTCACATTTTATACAAATTTACATTTTTTATGCTAATTTCACTTGAATTTCACAATGATGACTTTTCCAAACTGTCTTTGACCTTTTTAAATCACTTATCAAAAAATTTTAAGTTTCATAACTTGTATAAACTTTAATTCACATCAGAAGGTTTTCTTATTCAAACAACTTAAAAGTCATAATATGTGGAAAATGAGAAACTGATCAAGTCACCAGTTATCAACTGGAATCGGATGAAGACGTGTCAGACTGGGAACCAGTTGTCTTAGCGGTTAGCGTTAGCTTCGTCTCATATTTAATGTGTAGAGGTTTCTTTCTGAGTGTCACAGTTTGGCGTTAGCTTCTTTTCTATGGTTTACTTTTGTATGATTTTACACCAAAAATATTATTCTAGTAGTTTTAGTGCAAAAATTAATTTTCCTTGACAAGCACCATGAAAACTGGCCATTTTCAGTAATTTTCCAAACAGCTAGGTTGCTGTGGAAGATTTTTCTGCTATATTTAATTATCTGCTGCACTAAACATTTATCCAGGTGGAAGTCATGTGATCAGGTGGAAGTCATGTGATCAGACAAGCCTCACCTTTCTCCTTTAGGTAGGCCACAGTCTGAGCCATGACAGGTGGGACGATTGCCTCGCGGTTCTTCTCCCTGATGCTGCAGAAGCAGAGTTGCTGATCGGGTAACGAGTTCAGCTTTAACGAGCCATTAGGCGAACCAGCTGATTGGTTAACGAGCTCAGCTTTAAGGAGCCACTCACTACTGCAGGCTGACTCCAAACTGCTGCGTGGGCAGCGGCGGCCGAGGAGGCGGCGTCTTCACAGGCGTAGGCGGTCCGCCCTTCTGAGCCGCCCGCAGCTTCTCGTCATGCCTGCCAGGAAACGGAAACACGATGAGGAAGATGGAAACAGAGGAAACGCAGGATGGAGGAGGAAACTTGCCTCAGGACGTCTGCAGGGATGAAGAGCTGGTCGTAGTTCAGGTGTTCCCGCAGCTCCGCCAGGTAGTTCACATACTTCAGCTTCTTCCCAAACTTGTGACTGAGAGAGAAACAGATGATGCAAATGGAGGATTTTTATTTTTAGGGATGAGTCACACCAGCTCTGTTTAGTGCACTTTACACAGTTTGTTTGCAAATTTGTCCAAAAACATAAATTCTGGTCCATCTACAAACTCGGTCTTGGTTTGGTTGAAGTGAACTGATAAAATCCATTTTTGTTTACATTTTGTGAAGAAGAAAGCTGCGCTCAGTGTCTTCAGAGGTTTTTGTGTGGTTTCGTTCAGTAACTCTTTGTGCAGCGCCCCCACAGGCGAGGAGGGGAAAATGTTTTTCAAAGATTGATTTTTTTGACAGAAAAAAGAAACACAGCGATTGAAATGTAACAAATGCTCAACTTTGGTTCCCAATAAAACAGTCTGCTGGACTACGAGGTGGGAAAACACTCTTCTCTTCTCTTCTCTGGCGCCTGAACAGACACTGCAGGTTTTACCTGATCAGAGGTTTGAAAATGTTCCAGACGATCCGGATGAAGTTAGTTGGATGGACGACGTAGAGCGTCTTTAGGTTCTTCTTGTATCTGCAGATGAAAACAGGAAATTCAACTCTTCTGCATCTATTGACTTCCAGATGATTTCCTCCACACTGATGCAACCTATCATATTTGCTTGAACAGGTTAAAATAAGTCTGTGGTCTATACAAATCATGTTCATTACATTTTTTGCAAAAGGTAACTCTTAAAAAATAAGATTTTAGCTGCTTTAGGGCCTCTGTCACTTTAAATAAAAATAAGCTGCTGCTGGCCACGCCCCCAAAACTTATTGTTTACAAATGTGCCATTACACCACTGTATATATTTGAAAAGCAAACGTGGAGCCTCCTGCACAACCAACAAGAATGCAGAAAATGTTTTCTGGGTGGTGCGTCAACAACAAAACATTTATGTTTTCCACCAGCCATTGTACATCACATACAGCAGTAAACCCGGCTGACCAAGCGTGCTGGAACTCTGCCTTGGTTGCTAAGTTACAAGCAGCATTCCACTGAGGTTGCTAAGTAACGGTGCAATGAACTGCAATGTAACGTTACTTTCTGGAGGCTCATTTTCTTTACAGCGAAAATTAACTTCTTGCCAAAAGACAGATGTGTTTGTTTTTTTTTCAGAAACATTTAAGATCCAAATGGAAGCGGATTTGGTCCTGTGCATTTAGAAACCGAGGCAGACTGGCTCACTAAGGTCTTTATGGATCATTGATTTTGTATTTATCTACTTTCTGGATATTTTAGGAGCTGAAGTCGTCATTATGAGGAGGAGGACCTACTTCCGGTCGAACTCGCCGTAGGCTTCGCGCAGCCACTTGAGCGACGGCTTGTTGCTGCTCCTGATGCCGTAGTGGAAGTAAACCAGTATGTAGTCCATCTCCACGTACTGGTCCAGCGTGAACTTCAGGTACCTGCAGTGGCAGAACAGGGTGAGAAGCGGAAACGCCTCGCCGAGTCGCTGCAGGGGGATTCCTGACGTACTCCAGGAGGCGGCGGTGGTTGAGCTGGTGAGACGGCGGCAGGCAGCAGCTGCTGAAGACGATCAGCTTCCTGCCGTAGTTATCGTCTCCTGCAGAACCAAGTCACAGAGTCAGAACCAGAACAACATGCTGGTTTTACGGCCAGACCTCTAAATCCTCCCAGTTTACCATCATAAGACCAGTTCACCCCTTGGATGTTTAATTTTCTTTTTGACCAATGGAAAAATGTTTTCTACAATAATAATGAAAGAAAATGTCTAAAGTGGATTCTACAAAATAAAAGTTAGTAAAATAAAATGTTGAATTTAATTAATAGTTTAATCAAATCAGTTTTTACTTAAATGGTTTTTTGTCCAAAATTCACATTTGTTGAATCAAAGCAGATTTTAGAAATTTAAAATGTGGAGCTAGTTTTGTTGGGAAATATTCTAAATAAATGTGACTCATTTATTTTTTCAGAATTATTTTTTCCTTAAAAAACAAATAAAAACCACAAACTGACTGTTTTCCTGGAAAACACAGAAATATTTGACTTTTTTTTCTGTCAAAAAATTTTTGTACAGTTTTTTAACCACATTTTTATCCTTCCACTCAACTTTCTATGAACATAGTTTAAAACATTTTAGGAATAAAATCATCAAAAACAAAAATAAACTTTCTAATTACAATAATTAATGAATGTTTGGTTTTACTGCTGCAGTAAATCAACGTTCAGTTTCAGTTTTCTGGATGTTCAATAGATAAAAAACGAACCTGACACCTGGATGATTCCGTGTCGAGCCACATCGTAGTACGGATGGGACGGATCGGTTCTGCTGGGCCCGTCAGGAACCGCCCTCTGCTCTTCCTCACCCTCCTCTTCCTCTTTCTGCAGCTCTGCCAGGAGGTGAAACAGTTTCTACTGTAGATGATGGCAGCGTGCTGGAGCAGATGGGTTAGTTCTCGTTTGACACATCTGGAAGGATTTATGCTCATTTTTTGATAATTATGATGCAGAACCACTTTAACCAACTTTTATTCAAGTGAAAGTAAAAACTCACCGTCCAAGAAATTACTGAAGTAAAGAGCATTAAAGTATTTGGTAAAAAGTTTACGAAAGCACTGAGTAATTGATTGATCAGATGATCAATTATTTAATATTTAAAAATCAGATGGAATAAAATATATGGAAATTTTATTTTAAGAACCAAAATGACAATAATTCATAAAACAAAAAACACTAAATTATTTCCTAATCCATACTTCATAATAATATTACTCACGTAAAAGTAAAAATACTCCTGAAAGTACATTTTATAAAAAATAACCCAAGTAAAAATAATTGAGTAAATGTAACTCCAGCACCAGTCTTCAGTCAGAGGCCTCTCCAGAGCAACTGGAAGACTGACTGCTACTGGAATTCATTTAATTTCCACCGAGTGTTTTATAATTGGTTTTAACAGCTGATATGTGAAGGAGCTTTATTTGGATTTGTGTATCAAATCGTGTGATGCAGCAGATTAAACTGGGAGGAAACCAGCAGCTGCTCCATAAACGACTCGCTTATCGTTTCCCAGAAACCACAGGGAGGATCAGGAAGAGAGGAAACTCTGTGCAGATTCAGCTGTTTGTCTGCAGCTCAGCGGGAAGTTTGCTGTAAACATTCGGCTCTGATAACGGAGAGGAAATGATTTGCACTCAGTTCGCTGGAAAAAACAAAGATGGAGCCGTTAAAATGTCTGCAGAAAACCCTGAAACCTGAACTTTGATCAGACGTTTGGGTGTAAAGAAACTATCCTCTGTGATGAATCCAGAATAATTCATATCCACCAATAACTTTGATACTCAGGAGCTCTGATGTTTTAAAGCTTCAATAGAACAAAAAGACATTTGTGTCTTTATTTGTCCTCACAGTTTTAAGTTAAATCTGATCTTATCGCTTTTAAAATTGCAACAATAAAGTTTTAATATTAGCAGAATAAAATGTAACAGAAGAAAGCAGCTCTGATTCTTTATAAATAAACTCATCCATCCATTTTAACTTGTATAACTTTATTTGTGTAATATTAAGACTTTTTTTCTCAGTTTAATATTTTTATATTTTTCTTGGCCTCAGCCTGATATTCTGTCATTTAAATCAGATCAAAACAAAAAACTGAGGGTCTTTTTATTCGGTGTTTATAACCATCAGTCCAAGTTTGAGAGATTTGAACGTTTTCTGATATTTATCTGTTCTTTAAAAATAAAAACAAAGTGTCGGGAACGAGTCGCCGCTGTTTCCTGGAGGAACAGAAAGTTTCTCTTCATGAAGCAGCGTGACTCAGAGACTCCTCCTGAAAAAATTGTACGTTTAATATTCGCAGGTTTACCTCTACATTTCCATAAAAGTTAATAGGTTTTATACTTTTTCACAATCAGTAAAATTTTTCATCATTTGATTGAAACAAAACGCGTCCAAAGTCCTCTTGGTGTAAAACATCTCATCCCCAGAGCATAACGCAGCCACTACTGTGCCTCCCATGTCTAAAACTGCTGTTCGGTTACATTGTAGCTTTTTAAGGCTTCATTGACTATAGTAACTAAATATTTTACACTCAGAACCAACAGATGTAAACAGCTAAAGATGAAGTTTAATCTGTACGTTTTCCAGCTTTTCCTCCAGATGAAACTCATTTCAGCCAAACTAGAAAACATTCTCAGACATTAAAGTGTTTTTTAAAAATAAATAAAAAGCAGAACATTGATTCACTTTAAACTTGCCACATTATTCAGCCTCCACTATGCTCTAGATTTACCTGCACCAATCCAACCATAAAACCATGAAGGTTTGTTTTCATTTATGTTTTAAGAATTTATAACCTTTTAAATGTCCATTTAATATTAATAAACTGATGTTTACATTTTATGGAGAAACCTGAGCTGTTCAGCACATAATTCTGGGATAAATATTTGACATTTTTCAGTTTGTAACTCACCTATTTCTGCCAGTTGCTCCAGGTCTGAAGTGTTAGTCATTCCTGACTGGCCAGAAGAGAAAGAAAACACAAACTGGGTTCAATTTCAACTGCTGTAAATATCAGATAAAGACGCGAGGATGAAAAAATCCACTAAAAGTCAAAATGTCCGCTGAGAAAACCCAGAAAGCAGTTCGCTGCTCTCAGCAGGTGAAGCAGGAGCAACACCTGGCCGCCTCATTAACGCGTTTTACCGCAGAGAGAAAAGTTCAAGTTCCTGTAAAAACAACAGCGAGACGTGAAGTGAAGCCTCCACTGCACCTGCGAGGAAGTTTAAATCCAACTTCAATCCGGAGGCGAAACCGAGGCGGAGAAACTTCAGCAGGACGGAGCGGATCCAAAACTTCCTGCAAACTAACCGGGACGGTCTGCGCATGCTCAGACCGGCTCCCCCTGGAAAGCAAAAATCATTAAATTAATTAAATATAAATCATTACATTTAATTAAATTAAATACTATAAGGATACAATAAATTATTTCTAACATAAATGGGAAGTTAAAAAATATATAACAGGCCGCAAAAGATTATAAAGTTTTTTTTAAAACAGCATCATAAAATAAAATTACAATAGGCAATAAAATGGATATCAATTTAGAAAATACCAGATGTATAAATGTACAGCGAAAGTACTGGACAAAAAAAGTACAATGAAACAAAATTTTTACAACTTTCTTAAGCAAACAAAACAGGTTAGAAAAAAGATGAGCAATTGACAATGTTTATATGGAATAAAAATAAAATAAACATAAAATCATTCCAATATACAAATATTAAATAAATAAAAAATATTAGAAAAAACAAAAATGATTTTAAAAAAATGAAAACAATACATAATAAAAAGACAATTTTGTATTTGAGTTTTGTTTGACTCACCATATAATGTGATATGAATATAAGATCAGAGGTGAGCAGGAAATTGTTCCATCTAAATATTTATTTACTGATTTGTATCAGGAAGCATCAGGTTATTGTAAAATGGTAAAAGCCTGACATCTGCTGGACACAGTTTGGTACTGCACCAGCGAAATATTTACCTTTTGAAACAGGAAAAATCCAACAAAAGTGACTTTAATGGCATAAAAAAAAAACAATTACAAATCCCACATCTTAAGTTAGAACATTTTCAAGTCAGCTAATTATTTTGTTCCTGATTATTCTTTGTCAGATAAAGATAATAACGAACATTTTAATTTTCTTTGCTAATTTGAGTATTCCCATCATAAGGACCTGCAAGGGGAGGAAAGAAACTGAAAAACAAACCCCTGAAGTACAGGATTTACTCACCAACACATTTAACATGCAAATCCGTCTGAGGCTGCGGGGAAATTCAGATAAGGAGGTTTTCATGTTTTGACCTGAATCCCACAGCATTAGAGCGACAACAAGCTGGGGAAATACAACCAACACTCAGACTGAGTCGTTCTTTCTGTAATTATGCTCTTTATTTCGTTTTCTTTTTCATTTTAGTAAAAATGAAAATGTTGGACATAACTTTACATTTTCACTTGTTTTTACTCTAACTTGAGTGATTTTATTTTTTTATTTGGAGTAAAAATATGTTGAAGAAGAGCGACATTTTCACTGGAATTTTCTCAGATTTTAAATTATGGACTCAGCTCATTATTGGTCTGCAAATATAATCTGTAGATTATATTTGTCAGCAAATAAACAAATATTTGGGAAATTATATTTGTTTATATTTTTTTCAGACTCATTGTAACGAATGTCAGTAAAATCATAAAGATTTATTATTTTCTGCATCAACAGATTGATTTGATTTATAGAAGATAAATGTCATAATAAAGTTGTGCAGAAATGATTCACTTTTAATAAAAATGCAATTTTTCTAAATACTGTCTGGTTTATTAAAAGTGAAGCTTGAGCTTTAAAATGCTTTATAAAAACTAAATAGCTGTTGTTTAGCACATTTTCACTAAAATACAACCAAAACAATGTTTTACAGAGCAAAATCCAGACAAATTCATGAGCCATTGGCTCATAAAAACAGCTTTTCTTTACTGAATGAACCCATGATGGAGCCAAAAAATAAATAAAAGCCTTCTGATACAGTATTCTCTGATTATGCAAATGAAGCCGCCACAGAGGGACGACATGACCCAAATATGGAGGAGAATAATGACGAGCGCAGCTGCAGGCAGAAGATCCTCGACACCTCCACTCAACGTTAGACTGCAAATAACCTCATGCTAAAAATACCAGCTGAAAAAAATGATTTACATGCTAAACTATTAAAGGAGAAGGACTTAAATGTTACTTTTAAATTTGATTAGATTTTTGGGGGCCATGTTTGTTATTAAATGTGGTTATTTTAAACATGAAGCTTTCGCTTTACAATGAAAGGAAACACAAGTGGGACTCCTCCCAGAAAGCTGATTAGATCCTGGAGGAGAGGAAAACATGCAGCTACATGCAACAGAAACGGTGAGGACTGGGAATCCTGTTCATTAAGACGAGTTTCCAGCAGCTTCCACGGATAGAAACAAAGAAGAGGAGAATTCTGGGAGGATGTGGGAGAAACGATGAGACGCTGCAGGAACCATTTATTTAATATTTTACTAAAAGTGACCTTGAACAGGTCAGGATGCGTCTCTGCATAGAAAATATTTATTGCATTTTTTTTTTTATACTCACACATAAAAATGGCTGCAAACTGATTTACAATTACACAACCGTACATCTTTGAAAAGCAGTAGTGGAGCCTCCTGCACAACCAACAAGTTTCTGGTTGGTAAGCCAAAAATCAAAACCCTTGTCTTTTCCAGGAGCCGTTGTACAGCGTTAAACACAACTGACCAAATGTGCTGGAGAGCTGCTGGGGTTGCTAGGTCAAATGTGATTTTATAATCAGATGATTTTATATGACTCGTTTTCCAGACACCAAAAAAAACCCATAAACTTTTATTATTTTTAAAACATTTGGGTGACGACATGATGAGCCCAAAGTTAAAACCCCAACATGGTAGGAAGAGACAACAAGTTTGGTAAAAATCAATGCAAAAGCACCAAAACAGGAAGTAAACACATTAATTACTGAATTAAATCATAATCAGTATAAACAATAATAACAATACAAAATGTGACACATTTTAATTATCTGAGAAACTGATCAGGTTCACAATAAAAACTTGATTAATGAAACGATTAATCGGATTAGTCATGATTAATCTATTATCTCAGTAATCCATTAATTAAGATTACTTAATTAATCTTACTTAATTCTCATGATTAATTACCTAATTAATCATGAGTAATCAATTACTTCAAATGATTACTGATCAATAGCCAGTTAAATTACAATTGGTTATTCTATTTAATATTAATATTTTATTAATCATGATTAATCGATTACTCAAATAATTGTCAGCTACTTGAGTAATTGATTACTCGCTAACTGGAGTTTACAGACTCCAAACAAAATCCATTTGGTGACAAAATCATCATAATCAGAGCAGAAATTCAGCCAAAGCTGAACAAATATATTAACTGAAACTCCTCACCAACTGTTAAATAAAATGTATTTTAGGCAATAAAAAGTTTATTTTCTCATTTAAAAAAAAACAATTAAATTGTTTATTTGCACCTTTTACTGTATTTCTAGTATTTTATTAAAAAGTTTAAAGTAAAAGTTTTTAACTGATTAATCTTCAGAATAGTCAACAGATTAATCTATTACTAACAGTCAGTAGAAATATCATTTAAAACAATAATAATATCCTCTCACATGTTTAGGTTTTATCAGTTTGAAACCTGCCGTCCACCTTCCTGTGTTTCGGTGCAGCAGCCAGCAGATGTCTCTGCTGGAGCCGATAAGAAAGAAAATCCGCCGAGGCTCATAAATCCGACAGTCAGCGGTGCTGAAAGGAACCGGATCCGAAAGCTGAAACACACCGGAGGAGCCGAGCTGAAAATTCAAAAATTCACATTTTTCATGGCTTTATTCTTCCATTTGGGTTTCTACTGTCTCAAAAACAACAACAACAACACAAAACAACAATAACAAAAACAAACAACAACAACAACAACAGAGCCGTTTTTTGGGTAGTTCATGTATTTTAGTGTCTGGAAAATGAGCCGTTTCAAAAACCTCCAGATTGTGAGATTACAAATAGCAGGCTGTGACCGTTACCTACCTACCTACCTACCTACCTACCTACCTACCTACCTACCTACCTACCTACCTACCTACCTACCTACCTACCTACCTACCATCCATCCATCCATCCATCCATCCATCCATCCATCCATCCATCCATCCATCCATCCATCCATCCATCCATCCATCCATCCATCCATCCATCCATCCATCCATCCATCTTTTTCTCTTTCTATGAATTCAATCGTTCCATTCTGAACCAATAATCTGATCAATAATTACTCCATTAAACATCAATAACCAAACAGTCGTTCTTCCAGTTGCCACTTCCTGTTCCGTCCAGATGTGTGGACAGTCTGACCCCAGCAGAACGGCCATCTTGGCCCTAAACATCCAGCTGCTCTGCATCGCTGACTGATGTTCGTTTGTGATTTCAAGGCTCTGATAGTTTGAATAAATTCATCATAGAAAAACCTGAAATAACCGACTGCAAATGACACAAAGTCACATAAAACGCTGAAAATAATCATCTCCTAATAAGTGAATATAAAAACTATGGAAAAAAAGTTCCAATTACATCAATTTCACTTCCACTGTGAGGAATGAAGGGATTCCTCCAGATGGAAAATTTGTCTAAATTTAAAAATCCATCAGCTCTGCAGGCGGTTAACGTCGCCTGATCTGAGCATGCTCAGATCCATCAGCGACCCCCAGGCTGGAAACACTCGCCTCCTCCTGTGTTTATCAGGGTAATGGCTCCCCATTCACAGGTGTCTGTGTGATTTATTCCCCCTGCAGGCCTCTGAACTCCCACCGGCCCGTAGATACAGAAACCATCCCAACAGAAGACGAATTATTCTCAGTGTTTCTGCTCATATCACAGAAGCACATTCAGAGAAACTGGTTCATCTCCACATTTATGATTTATTACGGAGAAAAGCTGTGGGAGCAAATCTCTAAGTTCAGAATCAGAAGATCAAAATTAACCTTCAAACATGGAGACCAAAGATGCATAAACCATCAGGACAGCAGAGGATTTCTGAATGTCCTATTCAAAGGCTGTTCATTTATCGAGCAACACAACTTTCCTTTTTATTCCTTTCTGTCCATATTTACTTTCCCCTTTTTATTTTAAGTTTACAGAAACATTTAAATAAAAGTTGTGGTTATGTTGCTGAAAATTTTGAGGTACTTTTCAATTAACTTTCTTGGAACATTTCCCAGAACGCACTCAGTACTTTCTTAGCGCTAACAGGTTACTTTCCAAAACCTTCTAAG